CCATCCTGCCCCTCTGCCAGGAGTTCATAGCCCCCTAGTCTGCCTGAATGGAGAGATGGGTCAACCCTGATGGGCATCTCTGCCATAACCTTTCTGTTTGTATTAACACCTGAGACTAGAAGCCAGGGGCAGTGGAGGAACAGAGCCAAATGCTCATTTATCAATCCCTCCTCCTGCAGAGCTAGTGACCTCCAGCAAAAAGACCAGAAAGCAGCTGGGACATACAACCTCTTCCTTTACCCCAGCGTGAATCACTGTAGCTTGTGAGTCAAACCCCCTCTGTTTCCAAAGCTGAGCAAGTTACTGCATGTTGGCTGATCCATGGTAACTGGCCACATGCGTGCTCTCATCCACATGGCAATAGCAATAGTCCATTAGTTCAGCCAGTGGAAATGCTCTGGTGAAAACATGCGTGTGGACAGATCCTGGAGCACAGATGACATCTGGTACCTCGTGTGTCTGGGTGTTTACAGAAAACAAAACTGCTACTGTAGGATATCCGCTGTGGGTTATCCTTCTTGTAAACAAACCTTTTGGCTAAGGCTTCCCTGAGCTCCTTAGAACTGGAGTCTTTCCTACAAACAGAAGACTAAGAACAAATCAAGCACAAATCAAGTGGACAGAGCTCACACTGAGGTACCTCAGCCATCACTGAAGTAGCTGTTGAGTTATCTCCAATAGTGCGAACTTCCACCACAAAGCCTGCACCCTAGCACCTGCAAGGGACTTTCACATCCCTCACCAAACTCTGTGATAATGTGCAGCACTCTAAAGCAACCCAGGCTAGCAGACCTGCCTAACGTACGCCTGCTTCTGCTGCAATCCCACCACTGCCTCTCGCTCAGGGGCACCCTTCCTCCTTAAGACCTCTGGAGTTTCAATTGCAATGCCCTTCTGCAAAACCTTTCTACCAAATCCTGAATCATCTGGGAACTGAGGCCAGGTTGGTTCCTACTAAAAGATGAGACACTCTCTGCAGAGACTCTACACCTGCTCTCCAAGAAGTTTTCCGCTATTAACCTTTGCCGTGGGCTGTCCAAGAGAAAGGCACAATTCCCGTGCTCTCTGCCTTATTAGCACTGACACAACAAAAACCTTTAGCACACGCAATGTTTTCCTCAGCACCAAGTAAAAGTAAGAGAGAATGCCTGGAATCGCTGGGGAATTTAACCAACAAAATGCTTTACATATCTCTGGTCTTTTCTCCCCAAGCGACCTCACAGAAGAACAGATGAAACACAGACTGTTTCCAGTCTCATAGCCCTTCCCTTTCCACTTTACTCTTTGCCTACACCGCTGTCAAGGCGTCCTCCAGCCCTTTTGCTTCTCCTACTGCCTTTCTCCCCAGGAGGCTGGTGCACTGGCCTTGAAATCCACTGCCACAGCTCTGGTGTTTGCTCACCCTGTTCAGCTCTGAACTCCTGCAGTGGCACCAGTCCATTTGTCCCACTCCCCCACATCTTTCAGAATGCGAGAGGGCAACTTCTTTTATACCCGCAGACTTGCCTCAGTGTCAAGTCTTTGGTTGCCCCAAGCCATCCAGTGTCTGATAAAGTATCATCTTATCTTGCAGTGAGGAAGTTTTCTTTGAGACCTGAACTCTGCCAGCATTACGGGAGCATTATACATTTATTTGCTGGTCTGTTGCTACATTCTGCTGCTCACGTAGTCCCTGCTGGGTGTGCCCTCCACGTGTGTTGGGTGGGACACAGCCTGTCTGTCTTTCAATGCATCTTACAAACATCTAAAAGACGGATCCTAATGGTGCTTCTTCATGGATGGACACCATCTCCCTCTGGAGGCCTTCACAGGCTGTTCCACTTTCTAGATCTGTTGCTGAAGCACTTGCTTTAGGACAGCTGCATCACTAGAGGCATAAAAATGTGAGTTTAGGTTAAAGATAGCCCTTGTCCTCAGAACAAAGCTTCACTTATTATGAGATCAGCAATCTTCTTTTACACATTCACAGAAGCCCCCAAAAAACTGTATGGAACACACAGTGGAAGAATCCTCTCCTCCCCTGAGTTTGAGAGACCTCAGGAGAAATCCAGCCCCCTGCGTGGCACACTGATGCTCTTTCTTTAAACTACTGTTTCAGCTCTCCCTTCTTCTAAGAGTTTTTCTGCTGCTGGGATTCACTGGCAGTGAATAGCTCTAGTACACGCAGCAATTTCCCCAGCCCAGCTGGCAGGGCTGGGGAGATGGCCGCTGGAAGCCGGAGTGAATGTTTTTCTGTGCCAGAGCTGTCCTGGGGCTCTCTGCAGAGCACACCATGAAGGGGTGTCTAGGGGTAATTTCCCATGCAGACACCTATGAGTACAAGAGTAGATCAAGACTTTCAGAATGCCATAGATAACAAAGTTTGACCCTCAGCAGGCAGAGATTGGTCAGGGATGCGGTGTGAAGAAGGAACGCTTTCCACTCTTCTGTCATCCACCGAGTCTCCCCTGCACTGTCCATCTAAAACAAATGTTCCTGTCTGGATCTCCTGAGAGTCTTTTTAGGGCCTCTGTAGGTTCTTCGTCTGCCTCCTGGTTTCAGAGGGGTCAGCACACTTCATTTGCATGAAAATACTACAACCTGAGGAAAAACAGAGAACACTAATTGCCCTTGCAGTGCACTGCCACATGCCTGATTTGTGCCAGGGCTGGGTTTTTGCATCAGCCCAAGCATGCTGAAGAGGCAGCCTGAGGTCCAGACACAAGCTAAAGAAATAGAGTCCACAGGATGCTCAGCTGCCTGGCGTGAGGGTCTATGTACCAGGACTGGGGCATCTGCTCAGAAGTGACTGGAACAGGAAACTCTTCCCATCTAAAGGACCTTTTCGGGAAGCATTGCTGTGGTAGCCCTCAGACCACATGACAAAAGTGACCCTTGAATGGAAAAGGTGTTCACAGGTTCCACTGATCCCAACCAACCCAACCCAAAGTGGGATTTGGTTTAGAGACAATCAAGTGTCTTCCTCTGATGGACCCACGGAGCAAACAATGGGCAACCTCTGCAGCAATACAAGGCAAAGGAGTGACCTGGATCTAAGAATCTTACTAGGAACGAATGCAATAAAAGGACTGTGTTCATGCTGTGCAAGCCAAACCCAGAACCTTTCTTTTCTCTAGTTGATGTACAGACAGGATCAATGCAACCATCCTTAGTTCTGCTCTGGATCCATTAGTAGAGAGAAAGGGCTTTTGCACTCTGGCCAAAGTGTCCAGTTTATAAGTGATAAAACAACCCTACAGTGCATCGCAGCAGAAGACTAGGTTGTCAGCATGAGTTACTACAGCCAAAGGGTCTTTACATGTTCCCTCTAGAGCAGTAAGATATTGCAGGGCTTTGATGGAGCACTAGAAAACAGTGTGGTGTGACCCCTCAGCTCACACCCAGTCCTTTCCCCTGCATACAGCCCCCATGGCCCTGCCATGGTCCATGTGGCTCAAGGCAGGTGGTTACTCCCTCAACAGCCCTTGCGTGCCTCATTCTCCCACTGTGCCCAAGCCAATGCCTCTCATTCCCACCAACCCCTTCATCCTGCTCCCAGTAGAGAAGATTCCCATGATGTAGGCTCTGCCCTGTCCCATCTGTGCATTTAGGAGGCAGGGTCATCCTGCCGATAGCTGTGACACAGCTCCCAGTCCCTGCACTCTCCAGAGCCCCTTGGGCAGAACTGGTCATCTTTAAGCAGCTGCTGCCTCTGCTTGATGGTTTCAAGCTCACTATTCTGAAGCCATCCCAAAAGTCTCCTCCCAGATCCCACAGTAACAGCTACGTTCTGATGTCATGAGCAGGAGACCATGCGTGAGGTCACCCTGCCACGGCATCAGCACCTGCTGCCACTCCGGTAGCTCTGGAGCAGAGCCAGCGGAGGAGCCCATGCCCTGGGCACAGCAGGGTAGTGCACAGAGCTGGGTCTCTGCTCAGATCAAGGGATGGAAAATGGTAGGGGCAAATCCTGCCACCAATTATGCTGGTGGGAAGCCAAAACAAATCTATTCAGTTCAGGAGCACTCACTAGCATCACGGCAGCAGGACTAAGAGCTGAATTACATTCAGGTAAGTGAAGAGCTAAACTGTCTGACAGACTCCTCCAGGACTCAGTCCAGCTTGGAGCCTCTCTTAACACTGATAAAACAGAAAGTCTGACAGAGTTGCCGCTCTGTCCAAATACATTTCCAGATAAACCACAGATAAGGAACAGCCAGGGATAATCCCTCCCTGAGACCATAACAGAGAAAGAAATACCACTGCACTGCATTACCACCAGGACACTTCTGTATCTCTCCAAGACAGTTCTTGCATTGCTTTGGCTCGTACTCCCTGTTTACTCAGGAATCAAACTTTATCAGTTAAAGGCAATCTAAACATTTTATCCCGGCAACATCTTAAGTATTGCCTTGTTCATTCAGCAGGGAACAGTCAGATCTCTGCAGGAACAGATCGATTTTGCTAATAAGCGTATCAGCAAAGAGTGAAGGTTTACAGTCCATGTGTCTTTAACTACAACTCAATGCAGTTACCTCAAAAAGCAAGGCTGTAACTTAAATTTGATCCCTTAGAGTTGGTTGATCCCAAGGAACAGTCCCTGTGACCCTCCAAAATAGTGGCTTTTGATATTTACCTCAGGAAGAAGCAAGAAAACAACCAACCAAACATAAAAACTTGACACACCAGAACCCCCAGAGAACGAGCACAAACCCCCTCAATTACCATTTCACCATGACAGGAACAGAGTGCTGCTGTTTTTTGAAAGCGTACCTTACCCTGAATTCTTGGGGCTTTGGGTATTTACAAGAAAAAAGAAAGAAAAAAAAAAGGAAAAAAAAATGTAAGATCAAGAAGAAAGCAGTCCTATAAGAGCATGAATGAGATGCAGAGATTTGCACACTTGCCTGGCAAACACTCCCTATCATTTGCACTCTCATGCAACCCACAAGTACTTTCCTGCTGGCTTCCTGGCTTCTCTCTTCTTCCTATAAGTAAAATTTGTTAAAAATGGGAAGTACCTTTTCCTGGGTCAGGTTCTCTTTCCCCTTTTTTCCCTTCTTTGTTCTTTTTGCTCTTTCCTTTCCCTTTTTTCTTGGTCTCAGACATTCTGCACAAGTGTTTACAGTCTCAGGAAAAGACAGTCCACAACAGATCTATATGCCCCACGACTGCTACTCCAAATGTTACTTGCCAGCTGCAACTTCCGACTGTTCTTATATTGTTTCTGACACAGACAACACCCACCACTGGGTGGAGAAGCAAAACTTTAACTGTTTGCTCACTGCTCCCAGTTGTCTGAAAAGATGCACTGGGTTACAATGGCAGGGCAGGAAGAGCAGTGCTACAGGACAGGAGTAGCTCTCACAAGAGTGTCTTGGACACGGGAATCTAGAGGTGGTTTTCCACTTGCTGATTCTGTCTCTGGCTGCAAATAAGTTCTGAACAGCTTCTGGAGCATCACAGAGATAAGTGCTTTGGGGAACTGCTGAGGGTCAGCCCTCGGTGATACATGAGAGGCAGTGGAGTCTAAAGAAAAGGGTAGAGGCTTGCAATCCATTCTTCTTCTGCTTCGACCCTGCAGAGGGATTAAGTTGGCCTTTCTCCTCATATTGTTCCCACCATAAATCAGAGTGACTTCCCCTACCCTTTCACCCAGCTCTTTGCTGTCCCAGGAGGTCTTTCCAAAAGCTAGGAATAGTTGGAGAGCCCTTACCTGCACTTCTTGTACCTGTCCTCCATCAACGGGAGCTTTAGGTGGTTGATTAAGCCCATGTCTCATCTGCTTGGGGGTTAACAAGGCCCTTTTCCACAGGTCCAACATGTGATGAGTGACTCAACCCAGTCCTCTTCTGTAGCACAGGCCACGCTGACATCACCTCAAAAGTCCATCAGGATCTCCAGCTGGAAAGCCCCAGAGTATGCCAAATCATTCCCAGATGCAGCTAAGGGCTTCAAAGGCCCAAAGGGGCCATAAGCTGTAAGGCACTGGGTAGCACATTTGATCCAGTTATCCATGAATCAAATCCAATTCCACAGCCGTGAGTAAAGCATGTCCTCCAGAGAAGCACTCCCGCCTGCTGTACGGACATCAAGAAATGAACGAGCTATCAGCCCCCTTGGGATCTTCTCCCAATAGTTAATCACCCTCATTGTTAAAAATGTCTGCCTGCTCTAAAGTGGAATATCTGGCTTTACTGTCCAGCCATTGTTTCTTACTCTTGTTTTCTCCTCTAGATTAAAAAGCCCTTCAGCAACTGGTATTTTCTCCCATGGAAGTACTTACACACTGTAATGAAGTTATCCCTCAGTCTTCTTTTTGATAAGCTAAACAGATCAAGTTTTTTTCCATTGCTTGCTGTATGGCATTTTCTCCAGCTCAGGGATCATATCTGTGGCTATCCCATTTTGCAATATCCTACTTAAGTTAAGAACACAAAATTCCATTGTATCTTGTGTACAGAAGCAAATACAGAGGCAAAATCCCAACTGCCAGCCACTTTAACCCCCAAGAGTCACATCTGGGCATTGGACTTCACAAGGAAAATATGTTCTGGTTTGTTTCTACTGCAGCTCCTACCAAGTCCCTGCTCTGCCAGACATAGTCCCCTCTCTAACTAGGAGGAATTTCTTGCTTCTTCACAGCACCACTCTCTGTGTTGAAGCTGTATTTTGTTTTAAAAGAGCCAGTGTGCCAAGCCACTCAGATTACTCTCTCTAGCTTCTTCTTTCTTCCTGCTGATGCTTGAAACTCCATCAGTCTCTGTGTCACCTTGCTAACTTTACAAGCATGTTCACCTCCACGTTGCTGGTGACAACAATCTCACTAGAAACACTTAATGGAGTGACATCACTGTGATGCAGTGACTTTCCGGTATGTGCTAGTCGATCACTTTTTCACTGGTACGTGAGGTACATTGAGGAACTTACACCACTAATTTTCCATTTTGAGCAGGAGGACATCACCACACTAAATACCTTGTGCACAGCTTTAGGAAGGTGCCACAGAGCACCTAAGCAAACTTGCTTTGAACTATTAGATAAAACTACAAATTCTGCTGATTTGAAGTTTGAGCCTAATATACACTGTTTTAACATTTTCCATGATTTCTTGGTGACAGGAGAGTAGTAGCCCATGATACTGTTTCTTTTCCAAATGCAGGATGATAGCAGTTACTGATCAGTTCGTGCCTTCTAAGTCATCTGAATGATGATTTCCATACAGTTATTTCACTGTTTGGCTCATAAACATATTCCTCTTTGCTAATGTGTTCCTAGAGTCCCTTAATTCTGTAGCTGTACTCGATAGGCATTTTCCCTCCAGATGTCTCTGTCTTCTTGTCTACACACTACAACTCCAGATGCACATGGATTGCTACCTATTTTTCTCTTTTCCAAATTTGTTAATCTTATTATTGCTTCCAGTTGTTGCTTTTATTGCTACCAAGCTAGGATGGCTATTAGCTAAACCTTGTCCTCTTTCTTGACTATGAAATCTAAACTTTTTTGGCCTCTGCTCAAAGAGCTCCCGGTTCTTACTCACATTTTCCTGTGAATGTTTTAACACCCAATCAACTTCACTCAGTTTTCTTCAGCCTTGCGAAATCAGTTCCTTTGAATCCTCAGGAGTGTCTTATATATATTTATGATTAGGACTCTCATCTGCCAGCCCATATGAATAAAAACCTATCATGGTCACTGGCCCCACATCAACCACCAGTGATCAATCCAGCCATCAAAATCAATAAACCAGCACTCAGCAGACATAATGAGGCCCAAACAGAGCTCCCTTGCTTTAGTGGGATAACTTAGTGTTAGATCTACAGAGTTTTAAGAGACTTTGATGTTTTACTGCTAGCGATAGCTCCCTTGCCAGCACGTGTCTCCTGAATGGATATAACTCATAAAAAACACATTTCCCTCCCTCCCTTCTTTTCTTCTGCAATTTTATTTTCATCTTGAAACGTTTTTTACCATGGGTTCCTTTACATGAAGGCAGCATTTTTTTCTCCCTGCTGTCATTTCTGAAGAGAAACTATAGCTCCGCCTCCACTCCAGCAAACCGGTACCTTCACTCCTGTTAAAGACTCAAAGTCTGTGTTTTCTGGGGATCAGCTTTTCCAAAGTGCTTGCATTTAGTGGAGGTTTATTAAAATTAACAAGTGCCACTAAGATGATGCCCCACCTTCTTTCTTCTCTTTTTTCAAATTAATGAATAATCAAAGATTCCCTACTGCTGAACAGTGCGCGCTTAGAGGGTGAAGCTGTGCACAACAATGCATGGCTCAGCTTTGGCATCAGAAAATGAAAATTACAAAGTCTAAGTAGCAAAAGTGGCAGTGTCTGGCTTGGCCCCACTATCCTAAACAGCCCGGAACATGCGATGGGAAGAAACAGCAACCGCAACACCCCATACAGGTATTTTTGTACCTTGGCAGCAATCACAGTCTTACCTGTGACAGACGAGGAGTATTATATGCAGATTAATTTTTTGCGTTGGCAGGTGTACATCTTGTTATCTCATCCAACTGGCTAGCCCCTGTCCCAGGGCAGGAATCTGCCCCTGTAGATCCATCTTTAGCATTACAGACATATGGAATACACTCTCTCCTGAACAATCCCGAAGCACAAACACAGGAGCTAAATCCAACAAGTGACTTTAGTCCTCATGTGGCTACACCGATATAACAAAATCTACCAATGGGAAGGGTATTCCAGGTTGGTGTCCCAGGTGCCTCATCTGGCGGTTGGCATGTATTTTTAATGGCTGTGCTCTCACAAGTCACTTAATACCTCATTCCAAAATAGCATTTAATGCATATTGCTTTAAACAGTTTCATGGAAAGTTATAACTAAAAACACTATCAATCTGTGATTTTGTAGTCTTTACAATTCCTGTACAGCTTTAAGCTTAACAAACAGGAGGCATGTAATTATATAAGAGACTGAACCATACCTTAGGCGCAGTTACGTCTTGCATGAAATCCAGCATACTGATTTTACAACCCAGTGCCACACTGCAAGCAGCAGGGTGAGTTTACCAGGCAGAGCGTCCTTGCGCTCGTTAGAGTTTGCCTATATGCCAACCTAACAAGTTGGGGCTCCTTAATAATCCCCAGGAGGTCAGAACCGAGATCAGGTGAAAGAGAACCTCCCTACCTCTTCACCCACACAGTATCCATTGCGGTCAGCAGCTGTAAAATTACTTCTTTAAACAAAAATCCCAGATCGGCTTGGTGGAGAACAGAGTCCGCAGCTAAGAGTCACGCTGCTGCATTGCATTCTGGCTTCTTTTCTGGGAGGATATAAGGAACCACTCCCATGCAGAACAGCAGTGCGCTCTCCAGGGGAAAACAGCGTAGCTTGCAACAGCAAGGTCTGCATCTGGAAAAAAATTATTAATACAAATTCCCCCCGGCCTGGTGGAGCTTTATAAAAAAAGCCCTGACCCATCAGTGCTACTTGATATTCACTGAAACCCAGACGGCAAGCCCACTCCGGCTCCTCCAGTCTCTGAATTTCAGAAGCAAAGGCAGGCGCGCACACTCCACAAACTTCTGAGGCTGTATTTATGGCAGCAATCTTGGGAGCACAATGACCCATTTTAAGTCGTAGCATTTTCAAAAGCTCTCGGTATTGGCTTAACTCTGCTCTCACTGGCATCACCAGGAGGTGGCCATCAACTTCTGGGGAACCTCTGTGTCACATTACATGGTCCATCCTAGAATTGTCAGCTCCTGTTCAGCAGTGGAGTCGACACAAAATTGGTGGTAGCCAGAAATAATTACAGGTTATTTCTAGATAAGTAAAATAAAAGACGGCACAGTAGGACTGTACCTGTCAGCACCCCTTTGGCTTATCAACGCAATCCGCTGGACACCATTTCTCTACAACCCTGTTCCTTCACTGCGGGCCTGACAGAAAGACCATGGCATTGTGAAAGCAGGAAAGCTCACGCTCCTGACCCACCTTGAGCTGGAGATATGCAGAATCCTACCAGCAGGTTCTCTGAACAAAACTATTGAAAAGCAGCAGAGCCTTCTTGTCACTGCTGTTCAGACAGTACCTCCAGGACCAGGGTAAAAAGCAGATTCTGGGGGTTATGTCCTCACAAATAGCATCTCGTACCAGAGATCATCAGCTCAACAAAAGCTGTGCTATAGGTTTGTCTGCTGGAAATTCATAAATGACC